ATGGCCAATATTATAGTTATTATATTAATCATTATTAGTTATTACAGCAGTGAGTTTGAACTCTCAAATCAAATCACTTTTATTGTCACATCACATGTGCAGGTACACTGGTAGAGCAGATGTGAGTGAACTCTGTGTCAAACACTGAGCTTCAGTAAAGATTCAAGTTGCAGCTATTCATATGTCCTATCACCTTAAATCTTCACTCAAAGACATTCAAGTATCTGTGACAGTGTATATACAGATGTGTTATATATAAGAGACAAATGTTGTTCTTTCAGTATGTTGCAATAATTACTAAATTTGGCTCAATGCTTACATACATGTGTAAAAAGCAAATGTACGAGCTGTGATAACTGTGTCTGATAGAATGAAGAGTAGACTGATATATGAAATATTCCTTTATTGGGTGAGAAAATCAGACCACGTCATAACTGCTTTAAGTCACACAGAATAGATATCAGAGCCTTAAACAGGCTGACTTCTGCTAAATGGGTCAAACTGGGCAGAAAGTCTACCAACACATAACATCCTTATAGAATATGACAAAACACATCCTGATCGGATACAGCCCTGAACGCTGTGTGAAATGTACGGTGGCCCCGAGAAAACACACGTGCTTACTGATGTTGGTAAATCTTTGTCTGATTCCGACAAATGTGAATACATGTGTGAGCGTTATCAGTAAAGCGTGAAAAGTTTATCTTTAACAAAGAAAAACGCCACAATCAATCATTCAGTCACTTTGTGTCGACGGTCAGGAAACAGAAAAAACACTGAAAACGACCTTAAATACATGAAAACATTCAGTTACATCATTTCACTCAGTCCAAGAAGGAACCGCACATTTTAAACTCGTTTTATTTCCACGTTACACTGGAGACACGTCTCGGCTCATCGCCGCGGTGGGAACACGTCGGTGCCCACGCGGCTAATAGAGCAGACCTAGCATCACAGGACAGAAGCCAGCTCCAGTCTGACCAGCACCAACTTGCTGCTTATTATTGTCCTCACTGGGAGGGTTTCTTCAACAAAGTCTTCAGGGAGCAGCGACTTCACACCACGGCCCGTTCCACGGAGTTCCACTCGTGTTTAGCTTGAAACAGCGGCCGGTTTATATCTCCAGAGTCCAGTCTTAGGACGTCCAGTCAGAGACGTCAGAGGATCATAGTGGACCAAACCCAGGAGACCAGAGACGAGAGCGCGGTACATGAACCAGCCCACGGCACTTTAAGCGGAGGAGCCCAGATTAAAAACGGCTGGTTCTGTGCGATCGTGGAAAATCCTCCGCACATATTTTCACGCAGCTCTAGAAAAAGCGATTCATTTAATCACTTTGAGTTAAATGTAGATGACGAGTGTAAAGTCAACGGTTTATTTATTGAAATAATTAATGATTATTTATGTCTATTTATATCTATTAATGCCTCACACAAAGCACCGCAGCAGTTTCCTAATGTTGCAAATCTGCTCAGCGTTTGGCGATAAAACGCTTCTTGATTCTGATTCGTACAAACAAAAAAAATCATTTGACCCGAGTCGTGAAATGTAATCTCATTACTTAAAATTATTTGGGCGTAAATATTTCTGGAGCAAGTTTTGGATGTCTTGTCAGGCAGTGAATTAACAAACAACCAAACCCCGTTTCCACGTGACCCGAAACCATTCGGCAAACATTCTGACTCATGTCCGCGTGCAGGATCATGACACGGAGCGTGGACAGTCGGCTGGGAGTCAGGCTGTGAAGCCAGATAAAGTCTAGTCCAGGCCGTGGCCCTCAGCGGCCTCTGAACCACACTATTTATCCTGCATCAGCTCCATGATTTAAATTTAATCCAAAAAATCAGCTCTGAGTGTAAAAGCTGTGTAATGACAGAGCAGGGTCCGGATCGATCACAGATATCGATCAGCGTGGGAGCTGTGCGCGATGGGAGATGTGTGTTTGGTTTCACTGGAAACAAAAATATACAAACCAGTTTTTTCCTGTTTGAGCAACAACAGAGCGGAGAGCCGAGTCAGCGCGGGTCACACGAACCTTCACGTAACCTTCAAACAACCTCCAGAAAACCAGAAAAACAGAGTCAAAGAGCGGAGAGCGAGTAAGCGCGGGTCACACGGCGGCTTCACGTAACCTTCAAATAACCTCCACAAAACCTCTGACTCTGCACCGGTCTGTGGGAATGTGGGAAACGTTCACGCGTGACACATTCTCCTGATTCAAACCACTGAACTCAAGTAATAATACAAATATTATTTATTATCAATAATAATTATTGATTATTATTAATGAAAATGTGTTTGTGAAGGCTCGTCTGTGTGGATCTGCGCATGTCATGAAAAAAAAAATAAAATAAAAACGTGTCTAAAAAAACACCTGCAGGAGAAACATGATTTTATTCAACGGAAATTTTCCACATTCATTACATTAAAAAGAACTGAAATATAATCTGTTCTGTTCTTAAATGTGGGATTTTTCAGTCCGCTCACACACACACACACACACACACACTACAAATAAATGTCTTTATTTTTTATTAAATCCTCTGAACAGTTTGTTTAAATAAAGTTTTATAGAATAAGATACTGGAGAACGTGTTTAATGATGTGAAAGTGACCGATTATCGATAACTGATCAATAATCCAATCAAACTTTCAAAGACTCGACCTGTGAATGTAAATAAAAACAGATCGATGGTTTGATTATTGATCAAACACGTTCATGTGTTCCATACAAGGGAGAAAAATCCAGAAACTACAAACAAACATTTCCTCGATGCAGAACAGCTGATTTCAATATTATGTTTTTATTTTGTAACTTTTTAAACTTCGACCTCTGCCTCCTCTAATTCCTCATACACGACTGAGTGTTTGTAATGTCAGTTACTGCATTATATATTCATTACAGATTATCGATAATTACGTGCATCAGGAATGGACGTGGTTTCGCGCTGGGATGTGTCAAAATCACACGCTGGACCGTTTTCTTTAGACCATCTCACAAAATCAAAATAAATAAAATAAGAAACATTTATTTAGTTGCTCACTTTGATTTCTGTAGACTTATAAATTCAAATAATGTTATAATATAATAAGCAGTGAGTACGCTCTTATTAATGAACGAATTCCTTTTTATTGTGACACATATATGTGTGTAAATATTCTGCATGAACAAGTTATTTTTCAGATATTTGTTTAGTTTTTAAAAGCTTATTTTTAAACGTGGATATTTGGTTAGTCACTTTGTGTTCGCTCACCCTCACACTCTCAGACCTGTTGCTCTTTCACATTTTTATTTATTTATTTTTTCGTTTTATTTTCTCGAAAGCAAAAAATCGAACTTAATTCAAACACTTTTTTTTTTCAATTTAATTTGAGCTCCAGATGTGACAATTCTCCAGAGGTGGCCTGTAATTCTAAAACAAACTCGGATTATTTCTATGCAAATTAAAAAATCTGACTTTAATTTTATTTTCGTGTTTTGTTTTTTCTGTTTGTTTCTTCTTGCCGCGTTTGTGCTCGGAGCAGATCAAACGGTGATCACTGATGTACAAACGTCTCCGGCCCTGACTCCCTGCTTCTGCAGACTCCGTTTATTATCTGTCTAATTTAAGCTTCCTTCTTATTTCCTCTCAATCTTTTTTATTGATTACATTTAAAATCAATAAAGGATGACTGGGATCACGTGGTACCTGTGGCAGCTTGGGGTCATTGATGTCCCACGTTAACTTCATCCCGACGGAACACACGCAGTCCGCCTCCTCGCGCTCCTCGGCACGGGACATCCTCCTGCCGCTGGCGGGCCTGATCCTGTCCTCTTCGGCTCTCCGGTGGTTCTTTCGAAATCAAAGAATTAGAATCTGAGCCAAATTAAAAGTTTTCAAACCTCTTTTCAAACCGGAAGTCCGCAGGTGAAATAAAACATTCAAAATGATCCGCGCGACTCCGGACGGCGCGTGCAGCTCTGTAGAGGACTCAGGTAGAAGTGAGAGGACAGGTGAGAGAGTCACGAGCCTGCGGAGGGAAGAGGGAGCGGGAGGGGGTGTATACAGGTGAGAGAGGAAGAAAAACTAAAAATACAAACGAGACAAAAACAACTGTGCAGCCTTGTGACGATCACCAATAATCAATCAATGAACAACAGCCACATTAATAGCTGTTTATTATTCTTATTAATTCTTTTTCTTCTAAATAAATAAGCTGATTTTGAAAAAAGCTGTCCGTGTGTGTTGTGTAAACACGTCAGTGTTTCTCCCAAAACAAACAAATTCATTAGTCATCTATTAGAGGACACACCTGACGACCTGCTCACCTGCGCGTCCGCCTCAGTGTGTGTGCGTGTGTGTGTGAGAGAGACTTTAGTGTTTCTCATTAAAACAGTTTTTTTTTTTAAAAAAAAAATTAAAGTTGATTTTTAAGAGTTTCATTAATTTTATTTACAATTTTTTGTGAGAATCTCAAAGTACACGAAAAAGAAGCCAATATTCCTTCGCGTGTTGGAACTACTTTCTCTGTGATGAGTTAATGACCTCCAGCTGTGCGCGCTCCCGTCACATCAGAAGCTGAGGGAGGACGAGGAGACACGATGGTAAACTCACAGTTTGATATGATCACTGATCAATAAGTCAAGTATCGATTGGAAGTATATTTATGAACTTTGGTTTGTTGTTTCCCTGCTCGATTTATGAAACTCCGAAAACTGCAGTGCGTAATAGATCAGGGTGATGACGTCACATACTAGGAATCAATAACGCTTCTATATCAATACAAAATCGTTTTTAACTTTAAAAACGTGTTTAACAGCAGCTTCCGCGGGTGTTTCTGATATTTTGTCCACCCCTGTGCCACACAGTCCAGCCTGTACTGCCCCCTGCTGTCCGTCACCGGAAGTGATCATTTTTCATTTAAACTGGGAGCAAACAAACGTCTGATTCTTAAATCAGAGTAAATGTCAGTGGAGTCTGGTGCAGGGAGCACACTTTATGTCTGATGGTTTTACACACCTGCGTCTCCCTGTCGCTCAGTTCGAGGTTCAAGTGGAGGACTGTATGCTCCATGGAGACACGCCCCATCTGGCTTCTCTGATTTACTATGAAGGACTGACCAGCAGCACCCTCACCCGGCTGGACCAGCTGGTTACCAAGGTAAGGGGGTAGCTGTTTGTTCTCTATGCATGACTATCAGACAAGAGTTCTCCATGTTCACCACAAATGTTCACTAAAGCTTTAAAAGTTTATGCATTTAACAAAAACCTTCACCACCAGGGGGCAGTGTCTGCCCACACTGTGTTGGTTTGTTGACCTGTGCCATTAGAAACCACCTGATGCAGTACCTGTCCTGAGGTCAGGGTGGTGCAACAGTTGGTGCTGTTACAGACGGAAGATTAAACGTCCTGTTTGGGCCAAGCTGACCACCACATTGCCATTCAGGTGCACCTGCCTCTCACCTGGTGACAGGCTAGATCAAAGTTAACATAAAGATGCTGTAGAGCTCAGGCATCATCTTATCCTCCTGCTACAGTTTTTAAAAAACGATGAAGTTTAAATGATGAACAGAAAGGTAAATGATGTCATTTACCTTTAACAAGTCACATGACCTCAGGATGTTGTCTGTGATTGGCTGAAAATCATTGGCCAGAATGAAGTCAGACTGAGCATGCTCCTCAGTCTGTCTGCTAAATGAAATGGGCTTTTGTGTTGATGCCTCTGAGAGTACCTGGGTTTGGGACTAAAAATCTGTATCTGTATGATAAGTTCATATTTCATACCAGCTGATGTGGAAAGTCCACTGATTACATTTAGTTTTATCCATGTTAAAGCAAGCGCTCTGAAAGGTTCCAAGCAGACATGTTCATAATCAAAGTTTCATGTCAAAGTATTCCATGTGGAGGTGAGTCACGCTGTTGTACGTGAAACGTCTGGCCTGCCTGACGTTAAAAGGCCTCAGCGTGCCTCTGTGGTACGTTTTACTTGGTTTGTAGTAGGTTTGTGTTCTTTATGCTCCTGTTTGTGTAACGTCCGTTTCCACTGCAGGATCAATAAAGCATCAGAGTGATGTGAGCATGACTGAGTCTTACCACACACCTGTTTGCTTGCTTGGTTGTTAGGAGCTGCGTGATTCTGGTTTCAGCAGAGCTGTGCTTGTCTTGAAGTCTTTGGGGATTCTGGCAGAGAACAAAGAAGACCTGCAGATGCTCATCGGTCATGGACTGACTGCTAAAGTAATCTGTCTAAATTCGTCAGAATAAATCGGGTCAGATGTCATGCGTACATTACCTTCATGTTGTTGTTTGCCTTTTAGGCATTGATGTGGTTTGAAGCGGTCTGTGAACGGCTGACTTCTGACCTTCAGAGAATCTCCACCCCCCTGCTGAATCTCACTGAGGAGTTCTTTGACTTCTTCCTGGTGAGAACATTTCTCTACCCAGAGGGCTATAACTGTGGAGCCACATCCGTGTGTTAGCTAGCTGTGTCGATAAGGCCAATATTGTTTTACCTGTTGAATCGCCATGGTAACAGATGCTAAACATCTCACCTGGGACTTATTCTACAAAGTGAGTTTAACATACCCAGGGTTGTCTAAGGAGCTTGGAAAGAAAAGCGTCTGGACTTCTTTCAGTTGCTTGAAGATGTTTCACCCCAAAGTATCCCCCCCAAAGAGGGACGAAGGAGTAACCCAGTGGGATACTTCCACTGGGTTTAATTCTGGGACTCTCCACCATTTGACTCTTAGAACTGAAGAAGCTTTTCGGATGAGAAGTGAAACGCCTTCAAGCAACTTAAAGAAGTCCAGACGCTTTTCTTTCCAAGCTCCTTAGACTATGATGACGTGGATGTCTGAGAACCTTCACAGACATACCCAGGGTTTTTTTTATCTGGATCCACTTACCTTGACATTAGCAGTCACCATAAACTGTTAAGCTGGTTATCAACTCGCTGTGTTCACACCCTGCATACTGACATTAAAGGTGGTGTTGGTAGCATCCTATCAATCTGAAAGGAACAGCTTATATGACTTGATGTAGCTCATTGTCTTGCACAGGAAATTATTTCTATCCACTGGTGATTAAAAATCTATAAACAACATGAATAAAATGCAACAGTGTTGTAAAAGGTAGCAGAATGTTGCAGAAAGGTCTTGATGCATGCTCAATCATCCAGGTAAGGAAATCCCAAAAGGCTGATTCTGATTATTTCACAGGTTATATGTTAGAGCTGTAAAACCTTCAAATGGATCCGTGTAAATTTAAAGCACTGTTCGATACCGCTGAATGAAGCCCAGCTGTAAAGTTCGAGCTCAGACGGACTGTCCATGTGTTCATGTGCCAAGTCTCTGGACAAGCAGAACGCACACAAAGAACACCTGTTCAACCAATCGCATTCATTCATCAGGCTGTGGAACAGGATGCTTTCATGTTTCCATGGGTCCAGTTTAAACTTTCCTAGCTTTAATGTGTAACCGTTACTTTAGAAATAAAAAGCACCACTGAACATGTTCAGACACCTTTTTCCACTCTGTGCCCCAAATGAATACATCACACTTCATTTACTGTTTCGTACCGTTCAGTATGTGAGATCAAATCTAAAGTCCTGTTGAACACATACAGTGATGGACCTGGAAATGATTCCCTAATGTGTCTGGGTGACCAGGATCTAGCCGTACTTCATTCATCCATGTCACTTCCCGGTCCAAGTCAAATCACTTCTGCCATTGGTTTGGATCCAAAGTCCTGTACTGGGGTCACTGTAAAGATTCTGCTCTGGTCTTGGACTCTCTGGCAGCACCAGATGTGGTTGCCTTCAAGCTCTCTCTGCTACAGCTTTATTTTAGCATTAGAGGTAACAGACACAGTGATGACCACTATGACAGAAGATCTCCTTCACTTTGTTGTGATGAGAGATGTTCTCCTGGAGGTTGGCCAAAGCTTCATCCAGCTTGTTTCTGAACAGTCTGGGATTCATGGTGAGCCTGGAGCTAAAACTCACAATAGGAGGCCAACACTGTAGACAGTTTCTGCAAGCTTGAAGTTTCCTCTCAGTACATGCAGCTCCTGCTAACTCTAACAAAGAGAGTTCATAATGTAAACAGAACTGGTCCTACCACAGAACCCTGAAGCAGAGACAGAAAACCCCCAAACATTTGTTTTGTACGACTTGGTGCTCGCTACAGCTCTGGCTGTAGATGTCTGATTAATGCAGTTAATTTGATCGATTTTATAACTGGGTCAATGCTAAACACTTTGCTGATGGAGTGAAACAGTCATTAACTTCTTTGGCTCTCGGAGGAGGCGGACGCACTTTTTCTCCTCTCCCTTATCTTCCCTGCTTATGTCCTTGTCTAGTCTCGTGTTTTGTTTTGTTTTTTTGTATTTTCCCTGGAACATTCTCTCACAGTCTGTTTCTAAAACCTAAAAGAGGAATTATGGATTGGATCAACTGGTCCCTAAATGCAATTGACACCCCTTTCTCAACGAGAAGTTTGGGCTTGGGTGAGCCTGAGTGCTGAAGATATCTACCTATTCAGAACCATGGTAACAGGGTTCTGGCTGATCGGAGCTGGCTTGGCCCTGACTTATTGAAGAATTAAGAAAGCGGAACCGGCTGTTCAAACCCCCACAAGGCTGCCCGCTGGGATTGGAA